AAATAAAAACTGATGAAAGTAAAGACAGGAAGTAAGCCAACCTGAGATGAAAAAACTGAAACGAAACAAAACTGAACTCAAAATGAGAGTTGGACTAAACGGTACTGAAACGCTAATCTGGATGTGAGAAATAAAGAATTTATTTCCCTGCATTGTTTTTCTTCAACAAAAATAGAAACTAAACCATGTTTTTTTTAATGATTGTGGGGATTTCTGAGCTGTAAATATATTATACTGGAGCAAAAAGTTCATTTTTTGTCTGAAACTTGAGGCATGGCACTTCTAGCTACACAACAAAATTAATTAATTTATCTTTTTAATATTAGCTGAAGCAGCTCTGGCTCAGCATCTGACTGATAAGTTAAACAGACAGATATTTGGAGTCACATGAAAGTGGTGCTCTGACATTTCAACCTGCCGAGCATTCAGTGGTAAAGTCTTCTTGATCAGGCAGAGTTGTAATACATATATTTGAGTAATGTGCTTATTTTGAGTAGACTTGGGACTAGTTTTTTAACTAAATCACAAAAAGGGATTCACGAAGTTTAGTAAGTACAGTAGAGATGCCTCGATACCATGTTTCTTCAAATGCAATACAAGCAGTAAAACTGAGTACCAGTACAAGCACTAATAAATTCCATTAAACTTTGTAGAATTTGAATAACCCTTTTTACAGATTTATTTTCCAATAAGTTAAAAATCTGTATTTTGAACATTTTTCTCTTAAAAATGCTTAAAATTAAAAGTATGTTTCCATTCTTACAAAAGAAAAACCATCCTTCATGTTTAACACAACAAAGACACTGTTCCTACACAGTAACGTTGCTGAAATATAAACCGTATTAAGGGAATAAAAGGGGCTGGCAGCTCCGTTGAGCCCAAGAAGTGTCAGGAAGTGAATTTTGTTCCCTGTGATGAACCTGGAGAAGAGAGCAGCTAAAGAAACGCAAAAAAAAAACAATGTATAAGGCACTAGAATAAGTTTCTGCCACTGGCCTCTTTAACAGACATTCAGCTCAGCCACATGACAGGATATGGCAAAAACAAGTTTTTGTTTCGAAGCATTAGTCTAGCATGAACTTAGCTCCTTCTGAGACTGTCAGCAGTTTCTACATATTAGGCAGCCCATTTTCAGGCTCGTCAGTGACCTGTGGTGGAAGACGCCGCTAACCACAGCCTTTCTCCTCATTTCGTCTCCTCACCTCAGAATGGTGTGAACTGACGCTAACTCATGGTTGTTGACGGTCAGTAGCTGGGGAACTCCAGACCTTTCTTTCCACAGTCCCATCTTTCTGGGAGGACTCCAAGGCATTCCCAGACCAATTGAGACATGTAGTCTCTGGTGTGTCCTGGGTCTTCTCCATGGTCTTTTCCTTGTTGTGGACGTATCCGTAACATCTCTCTAGGGAGGTATCCAGGTTGCATCCTTTCCAGATGCCTGAACCATTTCAACTGGCTCCTCTTGATGTGGAGGAGCAGTGGCTCTACTTTGAGTCTCTTCCACATAATCAAACTTTCTCTCAGGGAGAGTCCAGCCAACCTGTCAACAAAACTCATTTCCACACCATTCTTTTAGTCACTACCCACAGATGAGGGTAGGAACGTAGACTGATGGGTAAACAAAGCTTCACCTCGCAGCTCAACTACCTCTTCACCACAACACACTACAGGCACTGTAGTATAAGAACATGATTGTGAGTAGTGTAGCAGAACGATACCTGATACTGATAGTGTCAGTGTGTTATTTTTGTAGTGCCAGCTAGCATGTTTTAAGAGCGTGAAGGAACCAGATCACATGAAACTTGCGGGTGGGGGTAGACCGCTTTGTAAAATGTGTGTAACAAAGCTGAGTGTGTATGAAGAAGCTGATACACTTGGAGATGCACAGAGAGAGAGAGAGAGAGAGAGAGAGAGAGAGAGAGAGAGAGAGACCACATCTCTAAATGCAGCATATGGTGAGTTCAAACTAATCAGTTACTGGTAAGGTTTGACCGACAAATCCTTTTTATTTAAATTCACCCCTTGGCCAACACCGATCACTACAGCAGATTACGTTGTTGTATTCTTGAAACTGTTGCGTTCAGACTTCAGTCTGAGCAGCCGGGGCTTTGGTGTTTGATTGTGTTGTTTGCACAAAGGCAGAAAAAAACCTTTTAAACTTCCGTCAGAGTTTTAGAGGCTTTGATTTGTTTTGACAGAACAGATCGTTTTCAGCCTGTATCTCAGTTTCAGGTAAATGGATTTTAAGCTGATGCTAAGGATTAACCAAACATGCAGACAAGCCAAAAAGTTGATGTTGAAAGAATAAATTATAATGATAGCTGCATCCCTAAAGAAAAAAAAAGTTTATCATTATTTTTCTGCTAAAAGAGCACTTTTTAAATGTCAGAGACTGAAAATGTTGTGTTGTCCTTTGAGGTGAAATAGTTTGATGTTTTTTTTCTTCTGTTCATTGACAAGAACAGATTATAATTATATTTAGTGGCTGCGGGAGCAGAAGTAAATAAAGAAAAAAGTTCTAAAATTGACATTTGCTTCACTCGCTTTGTTCTTCGACTTTCAGATAGGGCCTCATGGATCACTTCCTTTCACACACACACACACACACACACACACACACACACACACACACACACACAC